CTCTCTCTCTCTCTCTCTCCACACACACACACGCACACACACACACACACACGTATCTAGATCTTGTTAGGAGGATAATGTGGAAACAGTGCCATACCCTTGACAGCTAGTTATATAAAATACAGAATTTCTTATAGTAATAGGGAAAATGTCAAAACAAAGCTGTATGTCTTGTATCAGTGCTTCAAATCCAAGATACTGAAGCATTATTAGGCAAGTAATTGGGTGGTTAATGCTAATGTTTAACAAGGATAATATTGTATCTATAAATATAAATAAAATACCATAACATTGTTGAACTAGTGTTGCCTTTTGTTCTTTTTACTGTCCCTCAAACTTTTGTAAATAGATTACAAACCTGAATCACTAAACTCAGAGGCTTCTACTAAGGGTCAGAAAACCCTGGCATCACTTTGGGTTTCCTTCTTTGAAATATATAATGAATACGTTTATGACTTACTGGACTTACTACCAGCCTTGAAAAATCAGAAGCGCAAAGTTTTAAGAATCTGTGAGGATCAAGGAGGAAACTTTTACATTAAAGGTAACACTGCCACCTTCTTGTTACTCATTTAGTTTGACAATTATTTATTGGGTCTAATAACAATTTCCATGAGTATTTTGACAGTCCAGTTGTTAGTTCTTGGACCAGTGTTCCTCAACCTTGGCAGCTTTAAGATATGTCAGTTCTGAAGCCCACATATCTTAAAGCTGCCAAGGTTGAGAAACACTGTCTTGGATAATGTCCAGCATCAGATACATAAGCAAATTCTAGAATAGCAAGTGGGATATATTTCTGCTGTGAAACAAATTCAGAAAATTCTTACTGCAGGTATGCAAATGCCAAAGTTCAGTTTCATGTAAGTCTGTTACTTTTTAAAAACCAAGTAACTTGGTCTTGGGTCTCTTGTCTAATGGACATCCTTTTTTATAATAGAAGATTACACTTGTATCAGCTTCTGTCAGTTTTTGCGTTACAAAAACTCAGTTCTGAGTGCACAATACATCAGTTCTTCTATAACGTATAAAACAATATATTTTATATATTTTGTTAATATTATTTGCTGATTACTTTGATTAATCTTAGCTTTATAGAATATGTAGGTTTCTTTTTAAGTATATGTAACTCAGGCTAGAGTTCAAATATTATAGTATAATTAGAAATCTATATACGTCAGAAATATTAGAGTGAAATTCCAACTCAAAAACAGTAGGACAACACTGGGCAGTAAAACATGCCTTTTGTACAGGTCCATTCAAGGCTTCCTGTCCAAAGCATTCATCTTCTTTCACCTCTTTATTCTCTTTTAGCCCCTGAGAAATGTTTTCTGGGCACAAGAAGGAATCCCACATGTGTGTTCACTTTCTTATTCATGAAGTTCAGAAGTTGGGTTAGTTTGAACCCAGCAGGATTACTTTCTGAACAGTCACAGGATTGCACTGCAAAGATGCAACAGTTGTTATATTTGCACAGTGAATAAACAAATATAATTTCAAGTTTAATGCATGCTAATGTTATCTTCTTCCCCAGATTTAAAGTGGATCAATGTAACAAACTCAGAAGAGGCTTGTAAAATACTTAAAATAGGAAATAAGAACAGAAGCTTGGCGTGCACCAAGATGAACCAGCAATCCAGTAGAAGGTTTGCTTCCTTTAATTTAGGAATTAATTTTTCCTTCAATGACATTGCATGCAAAGTGTAATATATGGTGTGATGGGAAAGGGAGGAAGGAAAGCATGCACATGAGACTGATTATTGGGGAAAGTTTGACTACAGCTTATACTGCAAAATCACCAAAAAAAACAACAACAACCAAAAACCCATAATTGTGGCAGATTTCAATTTCCTTCTAGCATTATGAAGTAATTGACCTTCATCTGCAGTAACTGAAGGGTGATAAACAACAGCCCTCATATTATAAGGGTAGAGCTAAGTAGCAGAAAGTGTCATGCCCCAGATGGCATCCTCCATAAAGCTCTGGGGGATCACAGGAAGCACTAGAGAACCTCGGTCTACCCCCAGAAGCTAGGAGGGCTACTGGAGAGCTAATTGGGCGACCAAGCCTGAACATATTGTCACTCTGGCTTGTTTTAGTGGAGCAAATGGCCCTGTGTGTCAGAGACTCATCCCTTGTTACTTTATGGATAGCTGTGCATTGAATGTCATATGTGTGCATCCTTGTTTAAAGAAAACTCAAAATCTGAGGGTCCTGGCGGCCTATAAAAGCCTTGGATGTGATTTGCAAAGCCTTTCCAATAGATTTGAAATTGATAAATACATGGGAAGTAAATCACATTAACTGTATTCAATTAATTTTAAATACAATGCAGCATCTTTAATTTTTGCCTAGTTCCTCCTAATTTTTAGATTGCAGCTTATCATATAAAGACAGAGGACTCAGCCTGAAAAAAAAAAAGTTTTACATTCTCTGTGCTATACTGCAAGTTGTATGCTTGAATTTTTCTATATAGGATATTACTCTGAGCTGCTGATCATCTCAAAACTTATTCCTACAAGGACATCTGCAACATCATATTCTGGTTAGAGAAATTTCAAATTAGCTTAGGTTTCATGCCTAAAATTATCTCTGCATGCTGAAAAAGAACTGATTTCTCTGAACAAATATTGGCTTGTAGAAGCCTTTCTGTTCACAAGCAGAATATTTGTGAATTTTCCCTGAAAACCTGTGGATGTATACCTTTTTAAATGAAAATACAGCCCTAGATATCTTTCAGGTAGTCTGTTTCAATATCCTGAAGTCCACTTCAGTGTCCAGCAGTTCATGGTTTAGAAGCGTTAAAAGCAAAATTCAACTATTATATAAAAATTCAAATTCTCTGTAGGAAAAAGAAATCAAGGATTCTCACAAGCAATACCTTTACTGGAATCAACTAAAATATTTCAAAATATCCCTTCAAAAGAAATGTTTAGCAAAGCAGAAATAGAGAGAAAATGTAGAACAGCCCTGGAGTCAGCATTTAGTCACCATCATAGGAGGAAATTAAGGTTCAGCTGCATTAGGCATTCCTATCCATCTGTCAGTTCATCCATCCAAATATTTCTTCTGTTTGGAGCAAGCCCTTTAAGAAAGAATGGAACCTAAATACTTGTCTAATTGATTTGAGCTCTACCAAGACATGTCTAACTTTCTTTTTTGTATGGTGATATATATTCAAAGAATTCTAAGCCTAATCAAATACTTCTCCGAACTGATGACTAATAGTTATGCTATCCAAATGCCACAGTGAAATATCAAAGTGCTTGACACAGAATATAACACAAAAATAAACAATGTATCTGGTTTCTTTTAGTCACAGTATATTTTCTATTCGACTCCTCCGTTTGAGTGATGAAGATGTGCCATGTATTCTTGGAATCTCTGAGTAAGTGTCACTTTGCTAATGATAGAGTAGCATGGATGGCTTGATTGATTGATTGGATTTGTATGCTGTCAAATCTTCAAAACTTCCAGCAGCTAACAAGAGTAAACCATGCAATACATATAATTAAAACATTCATGGTGAACAATTTAAAATATAAAAATATGGATCAACAACCAAAAAAGGCGCACACAAAAATAGTTGACAACCTCCCATTAGTCCCCAACTGTCCTTCAAAACAGCTTTGTTTTAACTAAATTCTGGAAAGCGACCAAAAAGAAATCGGTCTGGCTTCCAAATGAAGGCAGTTTCAAAGTATAGGGCCATGACAGAAAAGCAACATCTGCTGCCCTCAGCCCTGCTTACCTCACCAGGATGGGAGGATACCAGCAGTTTTTCCCAGGAAAAATGCCTCTGACAGGTTGGATCTAGTTGGAGAAGGCAGTCCTGCAGGTATCTAAGCACCAAATGATACAAAGCTTTATGGGTTAAAATTAGCACTTTTTATTGTACCTGGAAACCTATTGGCAGCCAATGCAGGACTCACAATACAGCTTTAATATGCTGATGGTAACAAGCACCTATCAATGAGCAGACTGCTGTGTTTTAAATCCAGTGCAGTTTCTGAATAGTCTTCAAAGGCAGCTCCCTGTAGACTGCATTGCAGTAGTCCAGACAAGTGGAGATAAGGGCATAAGTCACTGTTTGTATATGTGTGTGTGTGTGTGTTTGCTGCAGAGTTGTAGTAAAATATCTGACAGCAAACTTATTTTCACAGTTACAGCCTTACAGTTTAGCTATCTTAATGAAAACAGGGGCTTTCATTTGCTTCAGCTAGCATAAGATCAAAAAATCAGATGGATGCATTGATTTGTACAGACTTTCCCTCTGTGACCTGGCTGGTTCAGAAAGATGCCATAAAGCTCAAACCTTTGGAGACAGACTGAAAGAAGCTGGCAATATTAATAATTCTCTTCTCATTCTTGGAAAATGCATTGCAGCTCTGAAACAAAATCAAAACTCAAAGTAGGTAACATAGATAAAGCTTGGTACATCTTCGATTTAAAATTGCTTAATGTATTAATAATTATCTTCAAATAGTAAGAAAGGATAGTTTCTTGGATATAGGAACATTAGACAGTTATGGTTTGTTTAAAATAATCTGTGATGATAGCATGACATAACAAACTCTTTATATCATATTTTATGAGTATTATGAGTGTTAAAATATATCATATTTCCAGAGTGTTCCTTTACTCCAAGGTTTAACAATTCACATCTCTCAACTTGTTATGTTTGCCAGTATCATTTCTCAAAATCTGTTTCCATATTTTGTAGAATGTCACCATCAGGTTTTAATGAAATATAGCATTCTAAATATTGGATTTCAAATTACCAGGAAAACAAGTGTTTTCTTAAACATCTAGTCCTGAAACTTCAGCTGAGAATTCTGGACCAAGCCAGCACATAATGATTTCTATAATGCTAGATTATGCATCGCAAATATCACATATTTCTATGTGTTCTATTACAGTTTGTTTATACAGTTTACATTACATTTATATGTCAGAAAAGGATACCAAATATGAAAAGAGCAATTACTACCTCTGGCAAATTAAGGCACTCCGTTCTATTGTAAACTTAACGAAATCCGAAGCCGAACATTTTCTATGGGATTCACAGTCAAGTTGTAAAGATGGGGTAATTCTCAGTCATTCCCAGTCTGATATTCTTCTAGTTTGATTAAAAGAATTGCTATGTTATCTACAGGAATCTTGAAGTGATTTTATGTAATAGGGTTTCATAAGCTCTTCCATTAAGCAGTTTTTATTATTGTCAGACATTTACAAGATTACTTCCCAATTGATTTCTTTGTAAAATGGGCTCTTATGGCCAAGGATCATACTTTTTAATTGGTATCCTAAAAACTGTTTCCTTCCTTCCTTCCTTCCTTCCTTCCTCCCTCCCTCCCTCCCTCCCTCCTTCTCCCTCCCCTTCCTTTTTCTTTTTTTTTTTTTTTTTTTTTTTTTTTTTTTTTTTTTTTTTTTT